AAATTGTATTTGATATTAGCACTGTTTAAAAGACAGAATATTGTGTACATGATTCATTATGTTGTGTATCTAATACATGATATAATATATGTATTAATGTGCTTCATGTTTATTGTATCAAATACATAGCTGCAAGAACTTCATATTTTGTCTCGAACTAAACAAACTTTTGATAATAACATTTGTGTATCACATGTTTATGAATCTGATACATACTTGTGTGACACTTTAATGTATCATGTATTGTGTACTGTTACATATCCTTCTAAATTTGAATAAGAGAGAAGATACATAGCAACACTAGATACATGATAAATGATACATTTGGAAGAAGTTTTATATTAAGTATCAAAACTAATTAAGTTTATGTATCAAAATTAATATTTGAATACGATACACTAGGTATGATAAAATTGTAATGTATCATAGTGTTGAAACAAAGGCATTATACATTAATTTAAGAAACAAAACTAACTAGATACATTAAAAATCTAGTTAATGTATCTAATTAGTAATTTGAACATGATACATTGTACATAGTGAAATAGTAATGTATCATAATGTTGAAACGAAGACATTATACATTAATTTAAGAAACCAAAACAACCTGATACATTAAAAATCTGAATGCATATATATATCAGAAAAAAGATGAACAAGAAAAAATCGGAAAAAAAATAATCAACAATCTGATCTATTTCGACTTCTCTTTCTCAACAATCACTTTAGAAGACAAATGTACATCCACTTTTTCTACATTTACTTTAGAAAACGAAGGTACATCCTTCTTCTCATTCTCCTTCTCAACATTCACTCTTGTAATTTTTTTCAACTATTAACATAGACGTCACTTTCTCGATCCAAAGTCCTTACAAAAGCCACCAGTAGATCGACTTTTTTCGTCTTTTTGAGCATTTTTTCCACAGCCTATTTAGAAGGCGAAGATGCATCCTTCTTCGACTAGTTGAGTAGTACCAACACTAAAAGAATGATCCTGATCCATATGCATCAGGAAATAAAGAAGATAAAAAATAAAATTGAAGAAGATGACTGTGGAGGAGACACAGAAAAAATAAAATTGAAGAAGACGACTGTGGAGGAGACACAATATATCAATTGAGTAGTTTGAATTTGATTGACCGGAGAGAGAATCCTTTTGAGAATAAAATTGATATGAAAATTCTAACGGATAAGATTGTAGAGAATCCTTTTGAAAATCAAATTGATATGAAAATTGTAACTGATAAGATTGTAGAGCAAATTATGGAGAGAATAAAGGAGTGAAAAAAAGGAAGGAAATCATGTGTTAAGGATGGGATACTTGTGTATCCGGTTGACTTGAAAATTTGGGAAAAATAAGGGATTTTGGAAATATTTTGTAATGGTAGGGAATGATGGAAATTATGGAAAATAAAGATGTGTATACAGGTAATTTATCCAAGAATATTTTCATCTCATTTTTTTTTATCAAAAAAAAAAACAGTATGAATAAAAAGGATATGAATAGTGTCTTAGTAGCCGGTTCATTAGCTATGATTTAAGGAGCTTGACATTGTGGCCAAACTCCTATTGTTTCTCCAACAGCATGAATTGGAAGCGGTGAGTCCTGATGTGATTTCACAATATCAGCCACCTCCGGTGTTACTATCATTGTAAGCTGACTCTCACACAGAGATGATAGTTGTAGCATCTGAAATCTCTGAAGCCGTGGAGTCCGATTTCATCTCCTCCTGCAGTGGTGATAGCATACTGCAAATGGAAGAGACAATACTAGAATGACCCTTGCATCACCTTTACTGATTAAAGAGGGTATTGAACTGAACATCGAGCATGGTAACAGGGCAGATAGGCATGGAGTAGGAACAATAATGTAGCAAATTAAGCTTTGTATTGATCATCAAAGCAACTTACAAACAGGCTGTTCACGTAATCAAACAACAAACAGAAAATACAAAATAGCTAATCAAAAGAAAATGACATAACTCATATCATAAGTCCTATGATTATTTTACTCTTCTATTGTCAAAACGTCGAATTAAGATTTTCAAGAAATTCTACTTTTTTCAAAGTAATTAATTGAGGATATAATATGAATTTTTTTTGTCCTTTCTTAATTTGTCAAAATGGACAAGTAATTAGAGACAACTAAAGAAGGAAAAGCGAACAAGTAATTAGGGACAAACAGAATAGTAATTACTATCTCTGGCCGACAATAGTTGTCCACTGTACTATAAGATAAGATTCAACAATATTTGTCTACTTTATGAATCAATAGGTAATTTTTTTACTTAGTTCCTAGTTTACTTTTATCATTAATTAGACATTGTATTTATTACACCCTCTGTCCCTAATTACTTGTCCACTTTTGAATTGACACACCTATTAAGATAACAATTATTGACATAGTAAGTTTACCATTTTACCCCTATAAATTATGAAGTGGATGAATTAAAAATTTAAGATTTTCAAAAAGTTCTACCTTTTTCAAAGTAATTAATTGAGGGATAGGTAAAAAAAAATTGTCCTTTCTTAATTTGTCAAAATTGACAAGTAATTAGAGACAACTATAAAAGGAAAAGTGAACAAGTAATTAGGAACAAAGAGAGTATATTTAAAGGGTGATTAGTAAAATTACTCTTCTATTTATAATTTCTTAAAAAATGTATAAAATCAATAGTGTACAAATATTATTGGACAGAGGAGTAAATAATATTTGAAATATCATTACATTTATATTGGGACCATGAATCAAGAAAATGAGGTAGCCACAGAAATTAGAGAAATCTTGAAGGGTTCAAAAGGTTATGGCGTATGACATTAAGGTTCAAAATGTTATAATTTTGTTATTCATCGGAACTTATACAATATTACTAGCTTTTAAGTACGTTCATTGTATGTGAATTCCGTCTATTTATTCATATCAATTTATTTTAATGTGTTTAAATTCAAATTAACGTGATCTATTTTTAAATTTAGATCACCCATTTATTTTCCACCTCTAAATATAGTCAAAAGTTAAGTTTGTGGACTAGTGTAAATGGATCAAAAAGCTCAAAAGGATCAAACAGACTTAGCTTCTTTTTTCTTTTTTTTTTGAAATTGTACATTTATCCATGCTGTAGTCCCTGTTGAAATTGTCAAAGGTAAAAAGGAAGGCAATAAATTGTGGAGTTCGTACCATTTGTTCTTATTGAATTTAAATAATATCATCCATCCCTTTTATTAAAATTTTTGACTTCACCACTAACTACAACATAGCATTTCTTACTAGTTTTACATTACACTGTCTATTTATACGTAGTGGCATTGAAGCCGGGGGGACACAAAATCTGGCTACCATTAATAGCTGGTTCCATATTACAAAAAGTGGAAGTAAAATACTATTAAAAAGGTGTCCTGTCAAATATATTTTCCGTTAACTAAAATCTTCCTTGTGATTCCTCTTCTATACATATGCATCTTTTATAATTTGACAGCTCTCATTCTAACAGCATTAATCACCTTACCATCAGTATAAGCATATATCAATATAAATATATATACACCTTACTATAGCCATCATGAAATTTTCCGACAAACATTAACAGGGTTTGACTATATTAAAAGAACAATTATTTTTTATAATTACTCCGTTGTATTGAGTTTTAATGTTTTATCTTCAACACCGTATTACTAATATATATATATATATATATATATATATATATGCACACACAATCGCACTGGAAGATAAACTAAAAACGAATTCTAACTACGTGAAAAAATATAACTACTCCCTGAAGTCTCATTTTATGTGGCACTTTTCGGATTTCAAGATTCAAACAAGTCTATTTTTTATCGTAAATTTATCATAGATTTTTTAAAGATTTTGAATTTTCAATTATTGTGACTTATAATACTTTTTAAGTAGTTTACAAATATATAAATTTTATTTCAAAAAAATTGAAAATTCCATGTGCAAATTCCCGGTCAAACATAAACTGTTTGACTCTCAAAAAAGGAAAAATGCCACATTGAAACAAAGGGAGTAATTAATTAGGAAATTGTGTATACTGATAATCTATAACATGATAACAACAATAAAAAATAACCACGTATTCACTATAATTCCACATTATGGAATATAGAAACTATTACATGAGTGAAGTAAAAAACAATACTACTAAAGAAATATCACTTTCTCCCCATATTTAAACTTCATATATTGGAACTAAAATGCTAATAACCATAAAATGGAAGAGCCTATATGAGCTTAATAATAAGTAATTACGTGAAGAGGAAATTACAACTTTATATATATTTTTTAATGTATGAAAGATAATTAGGTGCAATTATATTATCTTTCCTGCAAATAATTGGGCAAAGAGTATTTTCATCTCTTTTTTTTTTATAAAAAAAACAGTATGAATAAAAGGGATATGAATAGTGTCTTAGTACCGGTTCATTAGCTATAATTTAAGGAGCTTGACATCGAACACCTTGAGGCCAAACTCCATGTCAAGAACAGGAAGCTGTGAGTCCTGATGTGATTTCACGATATCAGCCACCTCCTGTGTTACTATCATTGTAAGCTGACTCTCACACATAGGTTATAGTTGTAGCATCTGAAATATCTGGAGTATCTGAAGCTGTGGAGTACGATTGCATCTTCTCCTGCATTAGTGATCACATACGGCAAATTAAAGAGCCCATACTAGAATGATTCTCTTGCATCACCTTCACCGATTCAAAGAGGGTGTTGAACTCAGAATTGAACATGGTAACAGGGCAGAGAGGCATGGAGTAGGAACAATAATGTAACAAATTAAGCTTTGTATTGATCATCAAAGGAACTTACAAACTGATTGTTCATGTAATCAAACAACAAACAGAAAATAGAAAAGGGAGTTACAAAATAGCTAATGAAAAGAAAATGACATAACTCATATCATAAGTCCTATGATTATTTTACTCTTCTATGTATAGTCCTGTTGCAGGAGATCTTTTGTTACCCAAATATTCGGTGCCTATTTCTTGGGAAAGAGCAGGACATTGTTGATCGCCCACATATGGTTCAGCACCTTGAAAAGATACGCCTTGGCTAACATGGACATTAACCTTTCTAGTCTTATGATTTGGCCATCTAGAGATTTCATATTATCTACATATCCGTTTCAGTGTTGATGCACTAACTGCGATAAAAAAAGTTCACAAACAGGATTTCAGTGAACCTATGCATAAATCATTCCGGTTAAAGGCATATGAGCGTACGTACATCATATATAATAACACAAAAAGTATTACGAATCTCAAATGCGCTAAAGTTAGTGAACTTACCACCTAGATCTTTCGCAGCATCTTCAAGAGTCATGCCATCATGCTGCTCCAGCATCTTGCGAGTAATCCCATGATCTTTTTCTATCCTTTGTATTACGTTTTTCTTATGTGAATGAATCATCTCGTTGTTAGTTGTTGCATTTCTTGTAGAATTAGTTTCAAAATTTGGTTGCTCAAAGTGTGAATCAGGTTGCATTATTTCAGTTGTATCCTCAATATGGTCATCATGTGCTACATCCAAGTTTACTTTTCCTCTGTTTGTCATAGCTTCCCCTATTGGATGAGGAAGTAACGGATCACCTTCCACTGTCCTTTCACAGTTGAGTGAGTCGCGCTTGTGTGATGAACAGGAAGGAACCAGTAGTGCAGCAGCAACATTATTCTCCTTCTGTAAATTTGACTGTTGACAGAAAGAATCAATATCTGTTGCTTCTCCTCCATTCTGAAGTGATTGAACACTCAGCAGAGGTTGGCCAATTTCAAAGGAGTCAAATTCATCACTCGGGGAAACTTTAATAACTTCAACGAGCATCCTCTGCCCTAGTTCATTTCCAGGAGCAACTACAAAACCTGGAAGTTGCTCTTTCATTGTGGATAAAAGCATGTTTAAGAAAGTCTTTGTATCTCTAACAACCATTTCGTTGGGTGGCAGAAAGTACTCAATTACGCAAATAATATTGTTGGCGCATTTACTTTGCAAACAAATTGCAAAACTCTGAGTGAATCTAGCTTTTCGTGCACTAGGCACCAAAGGGTACTCTTTGATGCTTAATATAGTAACATCTTTGCAAAAGCATGAACCTTGGGATGCAAATGCCCTCCCAACCAATGCCTTGCCACTCTCAATAAAACAGACCTCAGAAGAATATTCAAACTCATAATACATTGATTTCGGACCTTCATTGATTGAGCCAACAACACGATACAAGACTTTCAAAGAGGAAGGTAGAGAAAAAGGAATCCAAATTTGAGCAAAGGGTAAACTATGTCTTTCAAGGATCTCATATAACCGGGCCTTTATATCGCCAAGTCTTTCATCATCCAGCGGCTATAAAAATGATAAGATAAGCTATGAAATTAGTGGGACTGATCTCTTTTTTTTTTTTTTTACTTTCATTAATTTTGTTTAGTTTCGCCAAAATAAAAAAAGGCAGCAACACCTTACCTTTGAAGGTCCAAAAGGCATGCCCAATGAGTTAGGAATGTACAAGCCAACTGATTCGAAATTCAACCACTATGATGGAAAATTAACACAAGGATTATGGAATTGTTCAAACAAAAGTGAATAACCAAAGTTTTATGAGCAAATACCTCAATAAGGTTGGGAAGAGGGAGAGATGGTTGTGTAGATACAATCTC